GTCTTTAGTATCGGTGAGTTCAATGATAGCCTTGAATTCATGCTGCTATCAGATGCTTCCCTTCCAAGAGTGTAAGCAAGCACTAGAGTGTTTACGGTAGGGGTGTAAAAACTCGATTAGGCTGGGGAACCCTTCAAGGGCGGTTGGGGGCCACAATAACAGGACCGGCCGTAGCTATTTCGTCACCCTGTGCAAAGAGACTCCCAACGTCACCCCCCCCCCCTTCCCCCCAAAGGGAGAACAGTCAATCCCTATTATCCAAAAAGTCGCCGAAACGCATTCCCAGTCTCTATAGTAAAATTGAAGGTGGTATCCATTATTGCTTCATTCATTCTGAAACGTTTTGACGCCTCTGGTGAATTTGCGCCCTGTGCGGGGGCACATGTGGCACATGCCTAAGGAGGGCCCTGCACAATAACATACCTTTTTTTTTAAATCAAATTTTCAATGCGAACAGGTTGAAATTTGCCACACTTTCGGAAACCACTGTTGAGAGACTTCACGGCAGTATAACAGAATGGACTGGGGGGCCAGATCCGACCCGCTGGCCGCCAGTTTGACACCCCCGTTTTATGGAATCAAGAATACGAGTAACACTCTCATCTGCGGTTGCGTTCCTGTTTATGTCTTGAGGACGTAACACAAACTCTCACTAATGGTCTACGAATCTCACTCAGCCGTGGACGCGATGGCACTTGAACGAGAGGGGATTCGGGGCTCAGTGCGTCTCCCGTCTCGTACGAGTCGCGTATGGATATCCGTCGTCCCCGGACTCGTGCCTTCCTGCTCATTTCCTCTCCAGTAACACGTAGCAACTCTGAAACCAGTTGTCCGTAGTATTCACCCATTCCGGAATTGGTGTTCTTCTCGATGAAGTCTGAAAGAAATCAGCGATTTTGTCTTGTGCCATCCCTATGCGATGCATATTACAGGTTTGTCTTGATTCGGAATTGTATCGTGACTAAATCGTCAACGTGATACAATGCCGTTTGAGAACTCACTCTTGATCAAGCCCCATGTGGATTTCTTGTACTTGATTTGGCCGAAGAGGAGGAGCGAGGATTGAGACGGAGATATACGAGTCATGCAGAAATGCAAAAGAACAGAGAAGTTGTCGCCATATGGGATCCCATGAGCGGTGACCTCACAATTTACTGCGTAGAGATGTCCTGGTCTCGTGGCTTTGTCCAGGACCTAAAACCATGCAGACAAGAACATGATAACATTTCTCTGTGCACTTTGAGCAATAGTTTAAAAGATTTCTCTTGCTTAAAGGTCACTTTATCTCTCCTAGATGAGGCTTCAGCATTCGAGACATAAGCGCTCTTAATCAGAAAATCCAAGTGAAGGGAGACAGCTCAGGCAGAGGGACAAACCACGGTAGGAGACAGATATTACCCTTATTAATAGTTCGATTCCAAATCACGTGCGCATCAACATATCTCAATGTGGACACCTTTGCAAAAATATTATTACAAAAATGTCCTCTTCGACCAGACCTCTGGTAGGACGACCATCGTGTAGGAAGTGAGGGATTCACCCTTTTCCATTGGATTCTGATCATTGAAGAAATAGGTTGAATCACGAAGCTTTTTTCTTAAACTTCTTTGTTACCCTCGATTATTTACTATTCTGGCATTGGCTCATATTGCTGAAAATAACGAATGGTTGAAATTTTAGCACTACAATAGCTGTTGCGCGGATTTCGTTGTCAATCATTGTCATGACCCTCAGCAGTGCTAGCATGAAATTAATGTCAGTTTATGGTGGTGACAAAATCCAGGTTTTTCTCCTTGTGTGACCCCATATACGGTATTTTCATGTCGCTTCTCACTTTTCCCCCCTGTACTGTAGAACTGTAAGATGTCCAATCTAGCCAAGTTCAGATATTATCTACAGTTTCATACTAAGCGCGTAGCCTTTCATCTTTACTTTCACCAGGTCCCGGCTGAGTAATAATTTTTTTTTGAGGGGGGGGGAACAGATTCGGTTAGTTGCTGAGTGGTTCCGGTTTCAGAGCGAAATCCGAGATCCGAATGGGAATTGGGGTCTTTCTCCAGAAAATAAGCAGGTGAGTCACTCAGTTCAAGCTCAAGGGATCTGTTTCTTTCACTTCTATGAGGAAGGGAGCAATGGGGTCTGGCCAATTGATGCCATTCTTCGTCCTTCGTGGGTCCATTCTGATGTTTCTGATCTTGGGATCTTAGGCCATCGTCTGTGGTTGCACAGAAAAGATGAAGATTAGCTCTGTGGGAAAAGACTACCTGGTCTTGTGTGCACAATGCTGTTTTCGGACCCAGCGGATTATTCAGTTGGACGTGGTAAGACAGCTTGCGTATCTTTTCGCCCTCATTCTCGCCTTCTTTCCATTGGCCGTACTCAATATCTGCCAAAAAAAAAAACGACGGAAAATGTATTAAACGAGATCCTTGTTGCCAAGGTTTATGCAATATTCCAGAGAACCAAATCTGACTGTTTTAAAGAAGCATAACATTTTCTTTGGTTCTACTTAGCAGATATTCATTCTCTATTTTTGGGGAAGCGTTTATTGCACGAACCGAAAGGCCGTAAAAGCTCACCGAAAGTTTTCTGAAGTTCAAAAAAATCCCTCAGAAACTTGGAAGCCGTGAAGAGGAGCTTGAAGACCGTGTCCACACTGACAGGCAGAATGATGTTGATAATTTTTCTCCCATTGTGACTGAATGAACATCGAAGTGCCCCGGTATGCAAAGCTGAAATGCCAAACCGTTGGAAATCATTGGTGGAGTTAGAATCTGAATGAGAAGCTCCAACTTAATGGTAGTTATACCTTGATTCAGGCGAAAAACTTGAACTTATGCACAATGCTGTGAAAAAGTTTATAATTCATTACTCTATTCTTTTTATTTTCTTATATTGTCTTTCAACTACATAATAAACGGCATTTATGGGATCAGGGGGCATCTGGAATCATTGCAGTGATATAAGATAGATGCGGTTTTTTTTTAAAGATGTCTTCTTAACTCTTTCAAGGTACTGTGCAAACCCCTTTTCATTTTCCAGAAAACAAAGTCTACTGGCCATTGCAAACGTCCCCGCGACAATGAGCAATCCATCTCACGATGTTCAGGAACCTCAGCGTCGCCAGCAGAGTCGGGCTCGGAGAGCTCGGCATCACATCCACGCCTTTCGTCGGGAACGGAGACGGATGCACTGATGTTGCGATGGCGCGAGGCGGGCGGTGGGACCTCCCTGGCTGCTAACTCGGCCAGCGACGGCTCGCTCGCAGTCCTCCTCATTTTCCCGTCGGAGAGGGACACCACAGTGAGGCAGACGATCGTGCACAGAGACACGGCCAAGAGGATCGGAAGCATCTCATGCCCATCCCCGTCTCGACTGGAGCTGCTATCAGATGCTTCCCTTCCAAGAGTGTAAGCAAGCACTAGAGTGTTTACGGTAGGGGTGTAAAAACTCGATTAGGCTGGGGAACCCTTCAAGGGCGGTTGGGGGCCACAATAACAGGACCGGTCTTAGCTATTTCGGCACCCTGTACAAAGAGACTCCCAACGTCACCCCCCCCCCCGTTCCCCCCAAAGGGAGAACGGTCAATCCCTACTGTCCAAAAAGTCGCCGAAACGCATTCCCAGTCTCTGTAGTAAAATTGAAGGTGGTATCCATTATTGCTTCATTCATTCTGACACGTTTTGACGCCTCTGGTGAATTTGCGCCCTGTGCGGGGGCACATGTGGCACATGCCTAAGGCGGGCCCTGCACAATAACATACCTTTTTATCAAATTTTCAATGTGAACATGTTGAAATTTGCCACACTTTCGGAAACCAACTGTTGAGGGACTTCATGGCATTATAACAGAATGGACAGATCCGACCCGCTGGCCGCCAATTTGACACCCCCGTTTTATGGAATCAAGAATACGAGTAACAGAATGGATGTGAAGCCCCACCCCACTCTCATCTACGGTTGCGTTCCTGTTTACGTCTTGAGGACGTAACACAAACTCTCACTAATGGTCTACGAATCTCACTCAGCCGTGGACGCGATGGCACTTGAGCGAGAGGGGATTCGGGGCTCAGTGCGTCTCCCGTCGCGTACGAGTCGCGTATGGATATCCGTCGTCCCCGGACTCGTGCCTTCCTGCTCATTTCCTCTCCAGTAACACGCAGCAACTCTGAAACCAGTTGTCCGTAATGTTCATCCATTCCGGAATTGGTGTTCTTCTCGATGAAGTCTGAAAGAAATCAGCGTTTTTTTTTCTTGTGCCATCCCTATGCGATGCATATTACAGGTTTGTCTTGATTCGGAATTGTATCGTGACTAAATCGTCAACGTGATGCAATGCCGTTTGAGAACTCACTCTTGATCAAGCCCCATGTGGATTTCTTGTACTTGATTTGGCCGAAGAGGAGGAGCGAGGATTGAGACGGAGATATACGAGTCATGCAGAAATGCAAAAGAACAGAGAAGTTGTCGCCATATGGGATCCCATGAGCGGTGACCTCACAATTTACTGCGTAGAGATGTCCTGGTCTCGTGGCTTTGTCCAGGACCTAAAACCATGCAGACAAGAACATGATAACANCATGAGCGGTGACCTCACAATTTACTGCGTAGAGATGTCCTGGTCTCGTGGCTTTGTCCAGGACCTAAAACCATGCAGACAAGAACATGATAACATTTCTCTGTGCACTTTGAGCAATAGTTTAAAAAATTTCTCTTGCTTAAAGGTCACTTTATCTCTCCTAGATGAGGCTTCAGCATTCGAGACATAAGCGCTCTTTTATATCAGAAAATCCAAGTGAAGGGAGACAGCTCAGGCAGATGGACAAACCACGGTAGGAGACAGATATTACCCTTATTAATAGTTCGATTCCAAATCACGTGTGCATCAACATATGGCAATGTGGACACCTTTGCAAAAATATTATTACAAAAATGTCCTCTTCGACCAGACCTCTGGTAGGACGACCATCGTGTTGGAAGTGAGGGATTCACCCTTTTCCATTGGATTCTGATCATTGAAGAAATAGGTTGAATCACGAAGCATTTTTCTTAAACTTCTTTGTTACCCTCGATTATTTACTATTCCGGCATTGGCTCATATTGCTGAAAATAACGAATGGTTGAAATTTTAGCACAACAATAGCTGTTGCGTGAATTTCGTTGTCAATCATTGTCATGACCCTCAGCAGTGCTAGTGTAATGATATGGATGGCATTGAGAGGCACGAGTGGTGGTGTAGTGGTAGCACACCTGACCGGCAATCAGGAGGCCTGGGTTCAATTCCCAGCCGTCCCCTGGCTTTATTTTGTCCTCTCCTGCCATGCAATCTTCCGGCCATTCTCATGACACTAGCATGAAATTAATGTCAGCTTATGTATAGCGGTGGTGACAAAATCCAGGTTTTTCTCCATGTGTGGTCCCATATGCAGTATTTTCATGTCGCTTCTCACTTTTTCCCCCTGTACTGTAAGATGTCCAATCTAGCAAAGTTCAGGTATTATCTACAGTTTCATACTAAGCGCGTAGACTTTCATCTTTACTTACACCAGGTCCCGGCTGAGTAATAATTTTTTGTTGAGGGGGGGAACAGATTCGGTTAGTTGCCGAGTGGTTCCAGTTTCGGAGCGAAATCCGGGAGAATAGAATCCGAATGGGAATTGGGGTCTTCTTCCAGAAAATAAGCAGGTGAGTCACTCAGTTCAAGCTCAAGGGATCTGTCAACTTTCACTTCTATGAGGAAGGGAGCAATGAGGTCTGGCTAATTGATGCCATTCTTCGTCCCTCGTGGGTCCATTCTGATGTTTCTGACCTTGGGATCTCAGGCCATCGTCTGTGGTTGCACAGAAAAGATGAAGATTAGCTCTGTGGGAAAAGACTACCTGGTCTTGTGTGCACAATGCTGTTTTCGGACCCAGCGGATTATTCAGTTGGACGTGGTAAGACACCTTGCGTATCTTTTCGCCCTCATTCTGGCCTTCTTTCCACTGGCCGAATTCAACACCTATAAATAGGGAAAACAGAGAAAAATGAATTTAACAGGATCCCTCCTGCCATGATTTTTTTTTTTAACATTCTACAGAACCAAATCTGGCTGTTTCAAAGAAGCTATAAAATTTTCTTTAGTTCAACTTAGCAGATATTCATTCTCTATTTTTGGGGAAGCGTTTATTGCACGAACCGTAAGACCGCAGAAGCTCACCGAAAGTTTTTTGAAATTCAAAAAAATCCCTCAGAAATTTGGAAGCCGTGAAGAGGAGCTTGAAGACCGTGTCCACATTGACAGGCAGAATGATGTTGATAATTTTTCTCCCATTGTGACTGGATGAACATCGAAGTGCCCCAGTATGCAAAGCTGAAATGCCAAACCGTTGGAAATCATTGGTGGAGTTAGAATCTGAATGAGAAACTCCAACTTAATGGTAGTTATACCTCGACTCAGGCGAAAAACCTGAACTTATGTACAATGATGTGAAAAAGTTTATAATAATTCATTACTCGATTCTTTTTTTCCTCTATTGTCTTTCAACTACATAATAAACGGGATGGGATCAGGAGGCATCTGGAATCATTGCAGTGATATAACATTGATGCGTTTTTTTTTAAAGATGGCTTCTTAACTCTTTCAAGGTACTGTGCAAACCCCTCTTCTTTTCCCAGAAAACGAAGTCTACTGGCCATTGCAAACGTCCCCGCGACAATGAGCAATCCATCTCACGATGTTCAGGAACCTCAGCGTCGCCAGCAGAGTCGGGCTCGGAGAGCTCGGCAGCACATCCACGCCTTTCGTCGGGAACGGAAACGGATGCACTGATGTTGCGATGGCGCGAGGCGGGCGGTGGGACCTCCCGGGCTGCTAACTCGGCCAGAGACGGCTCGCTCGCAGTCCTCCTCATTTTCCCGTCGGAGAGGGACACCACAGTGAGGCAGACGATCGTGCACAGAGACACGGCCAAGAGGATCGGAAGCATCTCATGCCCATCCCCGTCTCGACTGGGAGACCCTGAGATGGGAGATGTGACTGTTTACTCCGAATGATGTTGACGAGGCAGGCATCTGCCTCTCTCTGCAAGGTGACGTCCATGTCTTATTGCTCTTGCTTACTTTCAAGGGAAGTTTTTTTGCTTATCTCGACTTTATTTCCTTGTCTCTTTCTCTCTTTCTCAAGGTACTCTTTGCGATACTCAATCAACAAATCAAGTGCTTGCAGAGCCAGAATATGAATGGTGACGAAATTGGGTGGTGTTTAACATCTTCCTTCTATTCCTAGGAGATAATGAGCTTCCGAAATATCCTGCCAACGAAAAGTATCATGCCTGAACTTCGTGTTACTCCCGCCTGTTGGTCTCGAATCTTGCAATGTGGGGATGAAAACCAACCATCCAATAATTTTTTTACTGCTTCAGGTAAGCCGTTGTCGAAATATGAGGGTTGAGATAATGGCAACAGTAAGTAAGTTGTCACCGATAAGCGGAACATAGAAAATTGGCCAAAATTAGTGTGACGCTGCTATTTGCAAGAGACGTAAGGAAGCATCCTACAGTTTCATTGTGAGAGCATCAACTACCTCAATGCAATCTCATTCCTCAGTATCCTCGCGAGGAGCGCTAGGAACTAATTTATATTATCTTCCTTCTACCAAGCTATCGGGCGGTTTTTCTGCCATTCTAGTACTGTTAACTTTCCTCATATCTGCCCCTGAGGAAACGATGCCTCACTGCCTTTATTCGAAATCGTGCTGTCCCCCAAGGCTCCATTGTGGAGCCTCACTAGTTTATGGCCTTCATAAATGATACCCCCTGAGCTATATTCTGATGATTCTGCCATATATTATGTCAACCAGTTCACCATTGAACGCAGAAAGCCGCTGGGGGGGTCGAGTCTCCAGAGGCCCCCTCCCCCATCCTCACTTGCCTTAATACCGAGCCCCTCCCCTATCCGAATATCCTGGATACGTCTCTGCAATCCACATAGAATTTTGCTATTGCCCTACAAGCTGACCTCGACAACCTGCGTGCATGGCCTCTTCTAAACTTTGTACTCATCAATGCGGAAAAAACCAAATGCATCCTCTTTGTCCATCTCAATCGCTTAACCCAAATACCCCACAATGAAAACAACTTCCAAATTTTGTTAAATAATGTCTCAATAGAGCAAATAATCATTTTAAATTTAAATTTCTTGGCTTTACGCTTACCAGTCACATCTCCCACGAAGTACACCGAAATGAGACCCATGAGAAAATGACATTTTCCTCTCACCGCCAAGCAGCCCACGTTCCTCATTTCTGAACTTTAACAACTGCTGTGTAACTCCCTTGCTCACCCTCACCTGTGGTATTGCCTTCTCACTCTTAGGGGTGTCTCAAATAAAGAGGCATCTAAGGCGGTTCAGCCGAGCTCTGAAGAAATGTTTACGTGCAATTCATAGTCAAAACAAGCTCAACCAGAGTCCTTTTCATTCGGCTCCCCCACTCCATAATAGCCGACTGCAAAACCCTTACACAAACCTGCAAGATCCTCTGCAACCTAAGCCCATCCTTTCTCTACTGTTTCATTCACTTCCCTTCTCCAAGCCACGAAACTAAGTCGAAAACTAAGGGAAAGCTTCAAAGCATGGCTTCCTCCAGCAAACTTATCCAATATCATCTCACAAATCAAATTGTAGCATCACTATCCTTCCCCCATCCAACTTGATCCGAGTCTGCAATTGTAGCATTCTGATATCGATATTTTCCTCAGAAGTTTGTGCTTCTATTTCCATTTTTTCTTTATTTTTAATTTTACTCATTTTCACGGCTTGTTTTTACAAGTGTATAGAATGTGATTTTCCAGTATGAATGCGTTGGCATCTGGGACTGCCAGTAGCCCGAGTATGCGGGCATTGTAAACTAACATATTATCATTCCTCTTCTTCCCCCTCCGCACACACACGCACACATTTTCATCCTGGAGAAATCTGCTTTGATTTGATTTGTATGTGTTTTGTTCTTACCTTTTCCAGTGTACTTTATCAACTTTCTATTTCCGCGAATATGATTCTTTCTCAGTCCTCCAGATGTATATCTTTATAGTATTCTTCCCATTCCTCAGTCTGCTGAGCAGCTGTCCTTTTAGTCGAGTTTCTGTACATATGTCTAATGTGGACAATAAAACCTATTTTTCATTAAAATAACATATTCCCGTTTTCTCAGACGCCAATCGAAGACGCTCCCCTGGTCCCGGGATCGTAGCAAGATGGCGGCCGGCAGGAACAGACGCGTAATTCCCGAAGATCTCTCGAATGTTGAATTCGAGACCAGTGAAGATGTCGAAGTCATTCCTACTTTCGACAGCATGGGCTTACGGGAGGATCTACTTCGAGGAATTTATGCCTACGGTATGTTAAAAACATAATTCGAGCTTAGAAGAACGAAAACGAAGAAGTGCGCAGCTACTCATGAGAGAATGATATAATAGTTTGCCTAACATTGTCAAACTTGGGCATAGAGTGGATCCGAGCCAAAGCTTTAACCTCTTATGGTCTCATAGAAAATTACTTCAATTAGGCCATGTCACTTTAGATCTCTTAGTGCACCCAATCATTCAACAAGTGTGGAGGGAGGCCAGACCAGGCCTGTTGCCTGATAGGCCTATTTTCAATTTGTTACAGGATTTGAAAGACCATCAGCAATTCAGCAGAGATCCATCAAGCCAGTCATGAAAGGGAGAGATGTCATCGCCCAAGCACAGTCTGGCACAGGAAAAACTGCAACCTTCTCCATTGGAATCCTTCAAGTTATTGACACAACCATAAGGGAGACACAAGTCCTAGTTTTGTCTCCGACACGAGAGCTTGCAGTGCAAATTCAAAAGGTATGCCTGACTCATCGTCAGAATTCAGGGTCACAGGTATTACTTGATCAATGTTATTGTTGCTATTCTTCCAAAATGCCTGTCTTCTGTGTCTCACTGGCTCCACTAATAATGTATGAAAATGACACTGACTTGTCAGTTTTACCTCAATTTGGAGAATCATGAATCATTCCACCCATGATTTAAAAAAGGAAGAAATTTTCCATTCTTATGATCAAATGATAGACCAGGTTAGTTGGCCCATATTAAAAAATGAGTTTATATAGAAAGGAGAAGTTCCTATGTTGATAAGTGACTGTTGGCAGAGCTATATGTAATTGTAAGATGGTTTCTTTGGGTATGGCTCTGCCTCTACACTTGTTCTTTATTTATTTATTTATTCCTTATTTAGGTAATCTTGGCCCTTGGTGACTACATGAATGTTCAGTGTCATGCCTGTATTGGAGGTACAAATCTTGGAGAAGACATCCGAAAATTGGACTTCGGACAGCATGTTGTATCTGGAACACCTGGGAGAGTATTTGGTATGTCTTTTAAGTGCTATTATCCTTTAAGGTTCTTCAGGATTGAATGCTCACCAAAGGTGTTATCACTAGTCTGCCTGGATTGAAACTTGTGCGATTGATATCTAGGATATATTTGTGGAAGTTATTATTGCCCAGTTGATTCCAACCAGAATTTCAAATGTGATAAGTTATGGATGCTGTTGGTGGTACTCATTACATGCTTTTGGAATTTTCCCTTTCAACTGTGATGGCCTAGTATATGAGGTCTATTTTCTTGAGCCTATCAAGCATGAGCATATGCTGGCTAGGTTTATAACCTTAAAGTTCTTTCTGTTGAAGGCTTCGTTTATTTTCATTTTCGATAATTTTCATCTATATCTATATAGATGAAAATTATTGAAATAGTTGGAAGTTATTGAAGTTCTTTTCTTGGTATGTCATTTGCATTGTTGGGCTTAGGGTCCAGTTTCATTGGTCTAAGCCTAGGCACAATATTAGGTCCACTTCCATAATAGCTGATAGCCTCATCCTACCCATGACTGACCAGGTTGGCATGAGAATCGTGGTAGTTATGGAGGAAAATTACATTTTTCTTCTGAGAGAGTTGTTTTCTGCATTCATGAAGAATGAAAACTTCCTATCATACAATTTCTCACGCATGTATCCTGCCACGTTATTGTGGTGTCCTGCATTGTCAGCCTAAACAGAGGATACAAGTGGAAAAATAATAGGTT